ACATTGCTAAATGTAGTGTGAGGGGCAGTTTATGAGAGTCAAGAATGTGATACCTTACTTACCACATGTCTGTGAGGAACGAAAATCAAACTGTATGAATGGAATATGGAAATGTTTATTTTGTTATTCTTCTCTTAATGGGTATATCATATGTCACAATAGATACATGCCCTTGAGCTTAGGGATATTCAAAGAAGCAAGGTATCTCTTTCCCAGAAAAAAAAAATATATATATATATATAGAGAGAAGATATCTAGTAGTCCTCGCGTTGAGTAGACTTTCTAAATGTGATACAAATTGGCAATTTGGAATATATATATATAAACTCACACTGCAGAAACTCTGTATGAGTACTAGAAATATGGAAATTCTTCTGATTGTCCTGGTCCACTTTGCAAATATGCTGTGACTCACACTGTAGGAAATTTTATGAATTCATTCAGTGTGGTAAATCTCTGAGTTCTTTCAGCTTTCTTCAAATATGTGAAAAACTTCATATAGAAAAAGGATGCTATAAATGTGACCCATGTAGTAAGTGTTCTTACCAGCACAGGTATTGTCAAAGATGCATAAGAACCCATAATGAAGGGGGAACACATTGAATGTAAACAAAGTGATAGAATCTTAGCATCTGATTCCTCTTTATCATTAGACCAAATTATATTAATTCATACAGATAAAAAAATTCAACAGTGTAATGAATGTTGTAAAGCTTTCATATATGCCAATTATCTTCACAGGCATGAAAGAGGTCATACTGGAGAGAAACCCTATGAATGTAATCATTGTGGTACAGCCTTTGCAACTCATGGTCATCTTGAAAGGCATAAAGGAACACATACTGGAGTGAAACCTTATGAATGTAGTCGATGTGGTAAAGCCTTTGCATGGAACTGTCATCTCCAAATACATAAAAGAACGCATACTGGAGAGAAGCCTTATGAATGTGATCAGTGTGGTGCAGGCTTTGCAAGTCATGGTCATCTTCAAAGGCATAAAAGGACACACACTGGAGAGAAGCCTTATGAATGTACCCAATGTGGTAAAGCCTTTTCACAACACAGTTCTCTACAAGACCATATAAGGACACATACTGGAGAGAAACCCTATGAATGTCACCAATGTGGTGAAGTCTTTGCATGTCATAATCATCTTCAAGTACATAGAAAAACACATGCTGGGCAGAAACGCTACGAATGCAACCAATGTGGTAAAACCTTTGCTTTTCACAGTCATCTCCTAAGACATAAAAGAACACATACTGGAGAGAAACCTTATGAATGTAATCACTGTGGTAAAGCCTTTGCAAGTCACAATAATCTTCAAAAACATATAAGAAGTCATACTGGAGAGAAACCGTATAAATGTAATCTGTGTGATAAAACCTATGCATGTCACAGTCATCTCCAAACACATAAAAGAACACATACTGGAGAGAAGCCCTACAAATGTAATCAATGTGATAAAGCCTTTTCACAACATATTTCTCTACAAGTCCATAAAAGAACACACACTGGAGAAAAACCCTATGAATGTGATCAATGTTGTAAAGCCTATAGAAGCTACAGTCATCTCCAAATACATAAAAGGACACATACTGGAGAGAAACCCTATGAATGTGATCAATGTGGTAAAGCCTTTCCTTATTACAATAGTCTCCAATATCATAAAATAGCACATTCCAGAGAGAAATCTTATGAATGTAATCAGTGTGATAAAGTCTTTTCACACCACAGTTCTCTACAAGTCCATAAAAGAATACATACTGGAGAGAAACCCTATGAATGTAACCAATGTGGTAAAGTCTTTATACGTCACAGCTATCTCCAAAAACATAAAAGAACACATACTGCAGAGAAACCCTATGACTGTAACCAATTTGGTAAAATATTTGCACAGCATAGTACTCTCCACAGCATCAAAAAGCACATATTTGAGAGAAACTCTATGAATATAATGTGTGACAAAACTTATGCCAGTCACACACATCTTCAAAGACATGAAAGAATTCATACTGGAGAGAAACCTCATGAATATATTTAATGTGGTGATGCCTTTGCACATTTCTGTAATCTCAATCATCATGAAAGTATTCATACTTGAGAGAAATTCTACGAATGTAAGCCGTGTGGTAAAGCCTTTGTGTTATGGTTCCACTTAGATCCATCACAAGTCAAACACCAGATCAATGCAGATGACAAGAATTAATTGTAATAAAGCTGCTATTGACCAAACAGGCCTTTGAACATATTCTGGAAGTGTAATACAACCCGTGTTATGGAGCTTTTAAGCTTTAAAAGCACAAACACCTAG